GGTGAGGGTGGGGCAGGATGGCTAGAGAAGGAAGACGCGGGAGGGAGTCCCCTGCAGGAGTGGAGGGCTGCCTGGAGGAGGGAGCATGGGAGAGGTGGACCGGTGTGCTGGAGGCCTTGCCAGAGGCCTGAGGAGGCGGGGGTGCAGCAGGAGCCATGCTGGAGAAGTGGGGAGCGGGGTGAGGAGGTGCCGAGTGAGGAGGCCTTGCAGGGAGACGACACACTGAGGTGCTTCTTGCTTTGCCTTCTAGATCTGCTGCTTGATTCAAGGACAAAGGCACACATTTCTTAAGTGCCTCTCCATTTATGCCTGTGCCAGGGGCACTGGGGACGCAGAAGCCACACGCACACAAAGCAAAGAGCGTGCAGGGTGGGGAGTGACCGCTGCCCGTCTCCGTGTGGCTGGGACTTAGAGCAGAGCCAGCCTCGGCCTGCAGAAGGCTCCCCACACGGCCCCCCTTCTCCGCCCTGCTGCCGCGATGGCTGTGACTCCCCATGCTGGCTCAGCAAACCCTTCCTCGGGGCACTTGTGGTGACAATCACAGGCACAGCGCCAGCCGCATGCCCAGTGCCCTGCTAAGCATGGCCCAAGCCAGCCCTTTCCAGTCTCACTCCCGCCCTTGATGTAGACTCAACTGAACCGCTGGCCTTACGTAAGCAAGCTGCGTGCTGATGTTAACTGGACTTGGGAAGGTCCTAAGCATCGTGCTCACTGTCACATCACTGTCCCCTCCTTCCTCAGTGGAGCCCGCCGTGGTGAGCAGCAAATAGAGTGAATTCATAAGAGAATGGACGCTCCGCAAATTCTGACCACTCAACAAACTGCACCCAATGTAGACAGAGGTACGTGTCCACATGTGAAGGACCTGGGCCGCCCCATTCATTAGCTGGGGCTCCCGGAAATCTACCTGAAGTCCTCAGACTCCGTTCCCTCACCCATCACCTCTCCGAGTGTCTGAGTTCACAGAGGATGGGGCCCTGGGGCAGTGCCCGGCGCCTGCCTGCCAGATGCCACCGGCTCTGACCGCAGCTGTCCAGCTCCGCTACTTGGACTGACCGCTACTGACCCTGATGTGCTCTAGCACCAGAATCCTCAATCAAAGCCAAAGAACATGGTTTTGGCCCCGGCTTTTGCCCCACAATCTAGTCACACAGCAGCCACGGTGACCCTTTGAAACCTCACCCACACCACGTGCCCCCGGCTCCAAACGCCACTCTGAGGTAAAGCCGGAGTCCTTCTTCCGGCCCAGGAGGCTGCACTTCATCAGCCCACTGCCCTCTGACCTCGAGCCTGACCCCCTCTCTCACAGGGGCCTCCTGTCACCCACACTGGCCTCCCCGCGGCTCCTGGGTGCACACACTGGCCCCTGGGTGTCCCTTTGCTCTCAGGCTCTGATGCAGCACCTGCCCCAGGGTGGCTGTCCCCAGCTGCCACACAAAGCAACGCCCATCAGGTCTATGGTGCCCCTCGCCCCACAGTGCGGTCACCTGGAGGGCAAGGAACATCTCGGTTTCCTTTACAGCTCTATCGCAGAGCCTGGAACACGGGGCAGACAGGCAGCCAAGAGAGCGGAATGGACAAATGCATCAAACCCTGATTCCAGAGCAACTGGAGAAGTGTCTGCTTAAATAGCAAACACCTCTTGTCCATGAGGAATCTGACCCACTTCAGGGGACTCCCAAGCACCCTACACATCCTGCCCCAAGTCCCCTTGTTGGAGACTCAGGCGTCCGATGCCCCGTTCCTGTGCTCTGCTGTTCCCGTCCACTTCTTTCATCGCTATGACCCGTCAAGCCGGCTCAGCCGGTATCTGGTTCACCGCCATTAACAGAGAACCTTGTCCCGTCCCAGGACCCTCTGCCTTGCCAGACCCTTGATGAGGAGGGCAGGCAGATGTCCCCAGAGCGACCTCTAGGCTCTCAGCAAAGCTCCCAGGTCTGACCAGTCACCAGCTCAGCCCTCACCGAGCACAGGTCCTTCAGGGCCAGTGCATAAGGGCGTGCCCCCTTGAATGGCCGCTGCCGCTCCAGGCTCATTCAGGACACAAGAGTCCACGCAGCTTCCCTTTCCAACTGAAGAGACTCTTTCTGCAGCATCCAGACTGCCAGCCCCCAGCCTCTTTCTTCTGCCCAGACGCAGGGCCGGGCATCGCTCGGTCCTTCCGTATCTTCTCAGACACTAGCCCACACTGAGCTAAGCCGCCTCATTCCTGGGTCATCCAAGTCCCTTCCAGGTCAGGCTCCTCCCCGATTCTCTCCGCTCTTACAGACCCTGCATTTGGCTTCTGCATTAATCCACCCAGGGAAAAGCTTCAATATTCTCACTCTTTCTGGAAAGTGTAGGATAAGAAATTAGATTTATGGGGAGGCACTTCTGGAATGATGAGGTAGGAACCTCCAAATATCCACTCCTCCATAAAGCACCGAGGACACTGGGAAACGTGCTGAAACCAACCTTCTCGGGATGTTGTCAATGAAACAGCCTTCCAGCAACTCAGGACGCACCTGCTCCAGGGAAACAGCTGGGTCTCAATCGTGACACTGAACTCTGTGGCCTTTTGACTGGCACCTTGTCCACCTCCCTCTCCCCAACCACATGGTAGTTTTGAAAACCAACAGCTCTGCAACCCTAGTGTATTTGTCAGGTTTCCAGAGAAACAGCACCAATAGGACACAGACACGGACGGACAGACAAACACGGACACGGACGGGGACGCACACACACACGCACACACACACACACACACACACACACACACACACACACACCCTATTACTTCCGTTTCTATATTTAAAGTACATAGACATTTACTTACTGTAAGAAGTTGGCTCACTTGATTATGGAGGCTTACAGGTCCCAGGAATCTCCACCCACAAGCTGAGGACCCAGGAGAGCTGACTGTATATCCCAGTCCTGACACCACCAGGGTCCAGACCCAAGAACAGCCGATTTTCAGTTTGAGGCCAAAAGCAGGAAAAGGCTGGCATTTCAGCTCATGCAGGAGGAGTTCCCTCTACCTCAGACTTGCTGTTCTCTGCAGGTCTTCAGTTGGCTGGATGAGGCCCATCCACGTGGGGACTTCACTCCCAGCGCCCATGCAAACGTTCATCTCCACCAGACACACCCTCACAGACCCGCCCAAAATAATGTTTGACCAAATATTTGGGTATCTCCTGGCCCGACCAAGTTGACATAAAATTAACCATTATGCTTGGTGAAAGCCCATAGCCTCAGAACCATGGTACGTATGCAAGCCAGCAGCCTGGCACCACCCGAGGGGACAGAATGAGATTGGAGGTCCCCTAATGCTACAGAGCTGGAGACCTGTCACTATTTGACCTGACAGTTAACTGGGAACGCCACTCAAAGGGCTGGCCTTCGTTTGGCCTGACTCAGAGCTCGCTCTGTGCAGACAAGCTACAGACATACCCAGGGTGCTTCATGACACAATCAGCAGAGACCGTCGCACTTTGCAGCTGCCCGAGGCAGAGGACATGGAACCTGGCTGAAAATCTCAAAGGTAAGTTGGAGGAGTGAGATGTCTGAGCCCTGGCACCTGGAAGGCCTGTGCACACGCCCAGGAAAGACCTGAGAACGGCCCGTCTCCCACCTTGACTGACCTTGAGGATCTGTGCAGCAGGAAGCGAAGGCGGAGGCAGAGCTGTGACTCCCACCGAGGAACTGAACACGTGCCCCGAAGACACAGGGAGCCCCTCAGCAAGGCCAGGGGACACAGAGGATGGTGGCATTAAGAAAGCTGCACCCAATCACTGGCTGACAACTAAACTCACCAAGGAGACTTCAGAGGCCACATATAACAAGGACCGCAACTTTACAGGAATAGTTTGGAAAAGTCACTGAACAAACAGTGGAAGCCACAAACATTGAAGGTGAGGGGTCATCTGATTTCCAGAGTTGTTACATTGTATTATTTAAAATGTACAGTGGATATTAGGCTTATCAATGAAATATCATAAATAAAACATACAGACATCACAAGAAAAGAAAACTGTAGACTCATATTCTTTAGGAATACAGACGCAAATATCCTCAATGAAGTGCCACCAAGCCTAATCCAGTAACATATAAGGGGATTATACACTGTACTTAACAGGATTTCAGTGTTAAACGGCCCCAAATCAATCAATGCAATAGAACAAAGGACAAGAAAACATGGCATTTCAACACACCAACAAAAAGCTTTTGACAAATTCCAACACATTTTCATGATAAAAAGCATTCAAGAAGCTAGGGATAGAAAGCAATATTCTCATCTTAATAAAATAAATATACGAAAACCTCACAGCTAACATCATACTTAATAGTAAAATATGGCTAAAAATCAAGAATAAGACAATGATGTCTGCTTTCACCACTTGTATTCCTCATTTTACTGGAGGGTCTAGTCAGGCGATTATGAAAAAAAAAAAGCAATGAAAACCACCCAGATTGGAGTAGAAGTAAAACTCCCCCTATTCGCGGATAACATGGGCATGCATATTGAAAATCCTAAGGAACACACACACACACACACACACACACACACACACACACACACACACACACACACCAAAAAAACCCAAAAAACTATTCAACTAATAAATGAGTTCAGCAAGGTTGCAGGCCACATGATCAGTATAGAAAATCAATCGCATTTCTGCACATTTGCAATGCACAATCCAAAAACTCTAGCCTTGTGCTAACACTACACTATATTAACTGCTGTAGCTTTGTCATTAGGTTTAAATTTGAGAAATGGAAGTGCTTCAATTTTGTTCTTTTTTTTTCAAGATTGTTTTGACTCTTCTGGGCCCCTTGCATATCCAGAGGATTTTAGAATCAGCTTGTAAGTTTCTGCTAAAAAAGGGTATTTGGGGTTTTTGACAGGGATTATGTTAAATCTGCAGGTTAATTTGGGGATTATTATTTTAACAATGTTAAGTCTCTGGTCCATGAATATGAGATATACATATATGATTTATTATAAGAAATTGGCTCACATGATCATGGAGGAGGGACAGCCCTAAGATGTCCAGGCTGAGTCAGCAAGGTGGTGACAAGGTGGTGACACAGGATGACAGATGGTGTAGTTTGGTCTGAGTCCAAAGGCCTGAGCACCAGGAGAGGTGATGACGCAGTTCCAGCCTGAAGATGGGAACAAAAGCTTATGTTCAAGTTCAAAGGCCCCCAGGCAGAAGGAATTGCCTCCTACTTGGGGGCAGGGGTCAGCTGTTTTGTTCTAACCAGGCCTCCGGTGGATTGGGTGATGGCCTGTCACGCTGGCAAGAGCAGCCTGCTTCCATCAGTTCCTCCAGCTGAAACGTCAATGTCATCCAAAACACCCTCACAGAAATACCCAGAATCACATTTGACCCAATACCTAGGGACTCCATGGTCCAGTCAAGGCGACGTGTCAAATCGGGCCCCGTATGAGGCTGCCCGGCAACCCTAGCATGTGGCAGCATTCCCGGGCATCCTGGCTGGCGGGCATGTGTTCCGCTGCTCACAGCAGGGAGATCAGAACTAGAGCTCTCACCCCTGGCGCCCCCTCCTGGGTGGGGGTGCCACTCATTCCGCACCTGCCTTGCCCATTTCTCCCTGGTTTTGGAAGCTAAGAAATTCCGTCCATTTCCACTTGAGGCTGGAAGCGAGTAGGAGAGCTGATTTCCAGCCCCATCACATTCGTCTGTGACGGCTGGCTTTGCTCTGGAGGAATGTCACATGGTTATTTACATCATTTCTTCCTGAATGTAAGCTCTATTCTAAAAATACAGGGCGGCATTCTTTCTTTCCTTTTTTTTTTTCACTGTTATGTTTCATCTTCCAGGAGTAGAGCATGGTATATATTGGCGTCTAATAAGTTTTTGAGTAAATAGAATAAACCAACTTATATGTGGATAATTTCACTATACATAGAATAAACCAATGAGCTATGGTTGAGTTTCTGTTTTCTGTTATAATCCATGTATTATTAATATTGGGTCTTCAGAAAAGTCATGACATATTTTGTCTATGTTTTTCAAGGGTCATTTATTTATATAAAGAATAAAGATCAATCAATGGTATATTGCCCGTTTTGTTTGATAACCTTTTGCCATCTTTCAGTGAACTTCATAATTCCTAGTTCATAGAAGGACTTGTCATTATTTGCGAAAAACTGAACAAGGTGCTGATTTACAACCTCATCTGAATTGAACGTTATACCACGCAAGGAGTTTTGAAGAGAGCAAAACAAGTGGAAGTCTAATGGTGCAAGGTCAGATGAATATGGTGGGTGTGACAACACATCCCATCCAAGCGCCAATAATTTTTGACGGGTGATCAAACTTGTGTGTGGTCTTGCATTGTCCCAATGGAACACAACTCCTTTACAATTAACAAGCTCTGGACATTTCTGGGTGATGGATTCGTTCAAACTGTCCAGTTGCCAACAGTACACATTAAAATTGATTGTTTGGTTCCTTGGTAGGAGCTCGAAAAACATGACACCTTTACAATCCCACCACACTGAGAGCATAACCTTCCTCTGATGAATGTCTGCTTTCGATGTCATTTGAAGTGAATCATCACATTAGGACCAAGACTGTTTGTGCACCACATTGTTGTAAACAATCCACTTCTCATCACCAGTTATCA